CTCTTTCCCTACACGACGCTCTTCCGATCTCACAAAATATGTCCACAAACTATGTCCACAAACTATGTCCACAAAATATGTCCACAAAATATGTCCACAAACTATGTTCACAAACTATGTCCACAAAATATGTCCACAAACTTTTTCCAAAAATTTGAGTATATCATAAATGACATCGCTACTTCACAAAAATTTGGGTGTTTCTTGAGTGACGTCTATAATTTACAAAAAGTTCACGTTCCTTCATTTTCATTAAAACTTTCTCTAGAGAAAGGAGAAGGATCTTAAACCACACTGTCATCAATGCTGAGGAGCTCGCGGAGGTGGATCTGGAGGATCTTCTCCTCTTCATGAGGAGAACGGGTGTCCGATCCACCTTCTTCGACTTCTTCGGCTGACAGTGAGATCAGGGAGATGGCTGGTGAGGGTTCTCATCTTCAGAGAATTTTATCTCTGAAGGTTTGTAGAATAAATCCCAAATATCCCCCATCTTCCTGATTCTTTGCGTTTTGAGATCCGTGAACGGGTTATATTTTGTTCAATACAATAATAGTAGTTAACGAACTTTTTCATATTAAACATCAGTCATCAAGCGACGAGATACAGGGAGCGAAACAAGATGGGGTTTTTTACCCCTATATTCTTAATCGCTTTAGTGTACTGGTCAGTACACTCCCTACTCTGATGATGAGGATCTTCGTTGCATACACTTAGACGGATATATCGCCATTAGATTCTTCTCGCTTTGAATATCTATTATGAATGAAAATCGCTGCATAACAGTCTGTTGAACTGTTGGGTCTTTGCAAATGAAAAGAAAAGACCGAAAAACCAAGAGATGAGAAAAATATTTATTACTTTTTTTCCACCCACTTTCACCATCATAATCAAGTGTGTGGATGTGTCAAGGGTTGCCATGTGCAAGACTTTGCCCTTCCATTATATATTTGTGTGTAATACATTTAGGATGGAAGGTGGGAAGCATCAACTTAACATTTTGTGATAGATGATACTACTTCAGATACGAGAGATTAAATACAGTTGAAATCATAAAATTCATAAATAAAACATACATTTTTAAAGAAAGATATCCCCGATACTTTTTCTCCCCTTTTGCCATTTTTATGCTTCCATCTTAGGGTGTATGAAAATATGAATTTTTCATTTATAAAGAGTGAACAGTTTTCGCGGCATTATGAATCAGAATCAGGTGTAGAAAAAGTAAAAAAAAAGTTTTTCCAGGAAATTTCACAAAGATGCAATTAAAATGAATGTTGCCAACATAACAAGATCTTTCAATCAAATCGGAAATGAAAAATTTCTTTCTTCGCAATTATTTATTTGGAAATCCTCATGACTTTAATCTGCTGAATTTTTTTTCCATAAACAGAAAAAGTTTATGACGTAGAATAGAACATTTTGATGGCAAATATTCTTTCTATGTAATCTCTTTTTTCTTCTCAAACAACCCTCGAACTTTCTACAGTTTTATTATTATTATGTTATTTATTCGCATATGAAACATATATTTTGTGAGGCAAAAAAAATGTTTTGACTATAATTGTATGATTATTATTTTATGAGAGCAATTTTCCTTCACGGTTTTTCCTTTCTTTTTGAGCCAATAAGGATTTTGTCGTTGAAAAATGATGTAAAATGTGAGTAAAAAACTGAAATGAATGTAAATTTCTTGAATATCTTATCATCTTTTGCAAATGTGGAATATTTATGTACATGAAAAAGAAAGAAAAATTTTGTAATAACCCAGTTGAAGAGAAAGAAAATTTCATTTAAAAGTCGCAACGAAGATTGTCGTCGTTGAAAGAAAATTTAATTTTTGCATAACAAAAAATTGCGATGCTTAGGTAAACGTTTGAACGAGATTATTCTGTGAAATTTTTTAAATTTTAATAAAGCAGTATAAGTAACGAAACGACAACAGCCGACTGAATTTATATTCATGAAACATTTATTTCCTGCTCACGACTTTTCCGTTCACGTATTTAGACAATGAAAATATTTTCGTTATTATTTTATGTTTTGTTTCATAGAAGTTTTTATGGACACGAGTGAATAAATAACAAAAATTCAGCCACTCAAATGCAGTGCTTGATTTTTCGACAATGACTTGAAAAAAGGTTTAACAGTAAAACTACTGGTATTAACTTGATTGAAGCTTTAGCTTTAATTTATGCTAATACCTTGAAACACTGCGAAATAAAATCAACAAACTTCGGATAAACTATAAAACAAAGCGGAACCATTGAATCAAAAGTATGAATGAAAAATGTATACAATTTTTCCATGTGGAATATTTAAGGACAGTGGTTTAACATAAAACTTCATGTTTATGTATGCATTCATTTCAAGAAAAGTTTCAAATTTTAATGATACCTCAAACAAATTCCAGACAAACACCATAAACTTTCAGTTTTGTCACCAAATAACAACATACGACTCATTGTTTTTCTAATATTCCTCAATTTCATCCTAAATTATAATCATTGTTGCCCATTCATTTAATTTAACACATAAGCAAAAACGTGCTGCGCTCGATTCAGATCAGGAAGTATGAATAAATTTCATAGCGAAGCTATTTTTATTATGCTTATGTTTCCATCCCTTTTTGCTGACTCCCACTAAAAAAATTGAAACTATAGTCAAAATTTTATGATCGGACGGATGAAAATAAATTACAATTATAAATAAAAAATGTTTTTTTTTTCGTCGACATGAAACATCATGTTTGTTATTTTAATCTCCCATCATCAATTTACTTGTAAGCATTGCAACATAACTTTAAAGTTACATCTAGAAAATATTTTCCAATAAAATGCCTTATGAATTTAATTTATAGGTTTAATAAACTGGATAATTAAAATATTCTATTTAAGCTTCTCTCTTCTCCCAAACATGAAAAGGCATTAAAACTCTCATGGGAAGAAAAGGTTCACGTAAAATATTTCATCGTCTAAGAAATGGTCTGAGGGAAGTCACACAAATAATATTTATATCTCTTTTCCTTTTTAAATTTTAGGAACACTTCAACATTACGATGTGAAACTTTTTGGAAAACGCTTTCCTCCGTCCCCGAAGTGGAAGTGAAAGTATAAGCAACAACTTCATGTCATAAACTTTCCAATTTTGTTCTGATGTTTCCGAAAATTATTCTCTTCTAATGCTTATGCTAGTCAGCACACTACCGTGGGGGAGGGATTTATGAGAGATATTTAAGTATTTTGCGAAAGTTTTCGGAAATTAATTTCGTTTTTAATTAAAAATTTTGAGGTTGAGAACGATTTTCCATCGGCATGATTTCAACCCTTTCTACAACCTCGACGGCACAATTGAATCTATAAGTCATCCCAAGAGTATTTTTCTTCCATCATTGACTTTCATTAGAATTTCCTCATATTTTTCTTCAACCACAGAAAATATTATCGTTGGAATTTTCCGTCTCTGTTTATTCATTAATTTGTTCAAAAATTGTTGTAATTCGTTCTGACATGTTTAAGCTGATTTCACTTAATTTCCGCATTTTTACACTGCCAACGACATGGAAAAGTTCTCGTTTGCTTGTTCACTTCTTTTTGTTTTATTTATTATGGAAATGTGTAAAAATGTTGGCGAAACTGTAATTTTTGTTGTTTTCATAAATTTTTCTTTGATGAAATTATATTCCACTTAGAAAATCTAGCAAAACAAAAAAAGTTGATCTTAGGGTTGAAACTGAGTTATGAAATGACTCAGAACAATTTCGTCAAGGATTCTTCATTTATTTTCATTAACTTTCCTTGTAAAAATAAGAAACTATTTCACTCTTCATCTTGTTACCAATAAAAGAAAATTAGTTTCATAAATATTTATTTAATTTATTTTTTCATTTAAGTGCATGTTCATTTCCTGACCCCGTATTCATCAACCCTAAAGAATGTCAAACAAGCATTTTTCGAGAGCTAAGTATATGTGATTTTAAGCGTTGTGGTGGCAACAAGAGTTTATTAATGTTTTGTTGTCGAAATTGTGGGGGGTGGTAAAGCGAGTTGAAGAGTTTATTTTTGTAATTCAACTTGGAACTCGAGGAAAAAAGAGTGCTTCGAGTATTTGAGTAAATAAGTGGCTTTATGCTTTTATTGACATTTTGTACCTTCTATACTCAGCATTTTCACTGAAGAATTCTCTTTAAGAAAATATTTTATTTATCAAGCCACATCATGACGACAGCACAACTCATTCGGTGATGAAAAGTCCCATTGATTAATTTTACAAGAGCTTTTCCTAATGCTTCTTGCCAAGGCTTTGTAAATGTCGAGGAAATCCCCATTCAATATCTTGAAACGTAAAAAAAATGTACTCAAAGTCTTGATGTATTGACGATAAGAGCGCAAAGCATTGAAAATGAATGAAGGAAAATGTTTTGATAAAATGATAACTGGAGCATGAAGGCAAACATTGCACGTACAATGAACACAACAGAAAATCAAATCTCTTATTTTCATTATCGAAAAACGATGAATGGAGATTTGAAAAGAAAAAAATGTAAGTAATGGTGGAGAATAAATGAAAGACGGAAGCAACCACAGAGAATCATTCTGCTAGATAACAGACAGTAATTAAACGAATTAATTCCGTTTTCGTTATTCGAAATCTCAAGTCGAATGATGTATTTGCTTTCTTAGTTTCTTCTTTTGCAAGTCAAACAACCGAATCATTTGCAACTCAGGGTCTTGAATATTGCGGGATTATCATAAATCATTACTAGCAGTCTGGTTAGATGTAAAAATTAGCATCCCTGCAAGCTAGAAATTGAAGTAGAAATCTATCTTTAATTATTCAGCATAAAAAGAGATCTTCCACCCTCATAGAAACAGAGAAATTTGATGAAAATTTAATGAATCTTAAGAACAATCGGAAAAGGCTTCAAATGCAGTGAAATGTAGTCATGCGAGATTCATTCCAATTGTAAATAAATTTCGACAGTTCGCGTTTTTCTTGCTTGGTTCATCCTTTGCGTACCCTTTTTTCTGCATCCGCTTGAGTGGAAATTTAATTTCTTACTCAGCTTACCAATTTTCCGATTATTCCACCCTTGTAAAAACTCTGAATTTCCTCAGCTTCTTTCATTTTTCTTTCTTTGAATGCTAAGAAAAGCATCGACTGGTGTGTAAGAACTTCGGATTGACGTCATATAAAATTTAATTTTAATTTCCAACTTGCGAGACGAAGAATTTTTCTTATTGGGAAGTTTGAAATAAAACAGCAACGTCTCTGACTACTTCTATTGTCTAAATGTTTATTGAACCATGAAAAACGATTCAAGACAAAGTAAAGGTTGAAAAATTTAAATTAATGGCTTTTCAGTTTTTTCTTGTAATTTTCCTTAAAACATTTGCAAATGTTTCACGCTCAAAATATTCTTCAAACATCTTTAATTAAAGTCAAGAAGGTGAATGAGGGCTAAGAACACAAATAAAACATTAATAAACTATGACTCAATGGAAGTCTCTGGAGAGATTTCAATATTTCAAATAGAAGTTCAAAACACGAAGCGAAAGTTTGATGTATCTGAGATTTCTTCGAATATTTCTTTTGTTTCTAAGTTTTTGAAAGTCAATCTGTCATTGAGTTTGTTAATGAAATCTGAAATGTCTGAAATGCTTCACAACTCATCACACTTTTTTCAGTCCTTATCAGCTCAAGTGCTCTAACAAGTTTTTTACTGCTCGGAAAACGAGGAAGAAAAAAGCAATTTTCTATCAAGCTAAACAAGTAACCCCTGCCAGTTGCCGGAGAGGAAGTAATATAATCTTATTAAGGGAAGGGAAATTTTGAATTTTTCATGTTCCATCGGCATCTTCCTTCACAAACACAGCGCTAAGACTCGACCAAATGTCTTCGATGATAGCAAAAGATGTCGAGGAAATACTTTTGGTAATGTTGCTCTTCTGTAAGCCGTAAAAAACTTTCTTTCATTCACCATTCCACCCTCTCAATTGCCATGGTCGTAACATCTGCTCCCCAAGTGCTGTTTAAGGTTTTCTCTTTCCTTTTTTGGATTTTTAATTTCAAGAATGGATTTATTGTTCTGTGCGTAGCGTAAGAAAAAGGCTCTTCATGTCACGTCAATAAAATTGGAGAAACTTCTGCTTGTCTTGTGAATTTTCTCGCCGAAACAGCAGCAAAAAGGTTTCCGTTTTAAGAGAAAATAAGTTAAGTGCCTTAAATGTTGAGAATCCTTTGCCGCATTTCATTTCATTCTATTGTGATTCAGCCCACAATGAACTTTTAAGATTTCTTTCTTATATCCATCGTTGTTTTCATTCAAAGAAAAGAAATAAAACGCAAGCAAAAGGAAAAAAGTGAAAACTTTTCCATTTCAACACAATAAGAACTTGAAAATAAAAGGGAAATCAAAAAATCACATCAGAGTAATGAAATATTTATAAATGAGGGTCAGAGCGTTGGCTTTGGCGACCATTGTCATTGTTCAAATGTTCAGGAATTTCTTCGGGTGTGGAATCTTCTTTACACGCATTTCATTTCACTCGATCTCGAGTATTCTCATGTAAAGTAATCCAAGATTTCATTTTATTACATTCGTCTTCTTTACAACTTTTTAATGTGAGAGTTGTAAAAGTTCAATAAACAGAAATTGGGGAAGTTTATTGTTGTGATGTCTGCTGATTGAGGGCAAATTAAACAATGTTGTCGATAGGGAAATTTCCATTGACTCGAATATCAAACATTTTTTATGTGAAATCACTTCATGAGTCGCCCACAAATTCCTCATGAAAGAAAAAACATCCACCAGGAAAAACCAACAACAGGGGGAGGTCTCAACAATAGAAAATTTTGTTTCCACTTCGAATGATTAATCGTAAAATTGAAATAAAATTGACAATGCGACTTCCACATGTGACTTCTTGTTTGTTTTCTTTTTTCTGTCGTGACAAGTTCTACTGACATTATTCCAAAATGTGTCGATAAATCTGACAAAAAAAGAAAGAAAGAAATACAAAAAATCTAAAATCTTTTGGCGAAATTGAATTGTTTTTTTTTGCTTCAACAACTGTTCACTGCTTCTTGTGTTGAATAATCTTAACAACCAGAAGTTTATGTTCCTATCGTCGATAAAATGTTCAATAAAATAAGCACACATGAAACCAGTGAAACTCCATTAGACAGTAGATAATAAAATGCAAGTTATTCATCGATGTCCATACGGTGTAGCTAAATGTAAGGCTCTTGCACTTCAAGGAGTGTGTAAAGGTAAATATAAAATATCTGACGCGAATTAATTGTAGAAGATATCTAAATGTATTATTTACCAAATGGAAATTCGCCCCGAATTGTTGTCGGAAATGTGTGGGGAAGCTCTTTCGATTTTATTATCATTCGACTTCCCCTCATAGTCTTAAGAAAGAAATTGGCAAATAAAAGAAGTTTTATGAGTTTCATTTCACAATTTTCCCTTTTCCCGGTGCCAGCAAACAATGTACACTTATTTGAAAACTGGGACTTTTCCAGCCCAATCCATTGAGTTTTTCCCGTTTTTTTTTCTGAAGGTTTCTTTTCCTTCGATAATTTATTGTTATATCTGGGTCGATGGGACGTCGAAGTGGCAATCGAAACGAAAGAAATCAAGCGTCGAGGAGGAAGAAGAAAAGAAAGAAAGTTAATTTAACGAAAGAACCATAAATGAATTAATGAAGTCTTTAGGAGAATTAATGTGCATGATATTCTTGAGGGCACTTCTGATACCGGTAGCGGAATGAATACATAAAGCTGTGGGTGATTTTCATGCAGGCAAATGATGCGGAAAATTACAAACAAGACTGCTTTTCAACTATTTTACTTCTATTTCCAATTTTGGGATGTCTAAATGCACAAAATAGGGATTCGAGTCTCAAACTTTTTTCTTCCATTTGCGATAATGTCTTCGATTTGTGCTGGTAAAACTTTTCTTTTTTCATTCCTGTTTGATTCATTAAAAAATGTTAAGCAACTTTATCAGGGGTGGTTATAAATCAATACTCAATCTTCAGATCATTTCGTATGGTTACAGAAGACAAACTTTTATTTCAGGTCTAAAAAAAAAGTCGAAAATCTAATTTAAAATTTTTTCTCTCTTCATGCTGTGCAACTATCAAAGAAAGTGAAAAATGACTGTCGGATATTTTAATAATATTTTCTTCTCAAATAAAAAAGAAAGAAAAAACTTTGTCGTTTGTTCGATTTAAAGTTAAATTATCGTTGTTAAAAGTTTTTTTTTCTCTTTTTTGACACTCAAAGCTTTTTGATTCGATTCGCACATGGATGCAAGTGAAAAATTGCTTTTTTCTTCCCCACGACGTTTTTTTTTCTCCATTTCACTCGCATTTCTTGCAGCTGTTACACAATTTTAAAATAAATTCCTGTCATCAGTCTTCACTCTCAAATCAATTTAATGCTTTTTTTTTCTTCTCAAATCCCCAACCACTGTTAGTTAAAATGAAATGTTTTCAAATTGAGATTGAATTGAAGGAGAAATTAATTGCGAAGTTTTGACTTAATGAAGTTAATTGATATATGAGACAGAAAAACCTGAAGCTACTCAAAGGTAACTCCCCCGCGATATTTTTAAATATCAATTCAGATTAAGATGTTTTCTGACTTTTCCCCAATTTAAAGTCGTTCTTGAAAATCTCTTAAGGTTCAAGAATTTTTTTTTAAATGAATTTAATTTTCTGATAGAAATCTATGGAAAGAGAAATCAACGACGACGATTGAAATGTTTTTCATGAAGAAGACAATAATGGAAATTGATTTTTCCTCTCTCGTAAATTAACATAACAAAAAGAAAAAGAAGAGAAATCGAATTGGAAATGAAGATAACAATGATGTATTTAGCTATCGATTGTTGATGGTTGTTGAAACTTTTCCTTCTCTACGTCCCATAGAAATTGTTTTCATTCATTTTCTTGAGCAAACAACCGCTTCAGAAGAAGCAAAAGAAGGAGATCATTAAAAATGAATTTGGAAGTGGATTTCAGGTTTTTGCGCACTTCTCAGTGATTTGTATTCATGAGATAAATTGGATACTTGAACTTTTAAAGCGAAAGTCGTTGGAGGATAAACAAATTAAAAGAAAGAGACATAAAAAAGCTTAAGAAAAAAAGATGAGAAAGTAATTTAAATTTTTAATTTTCAATTGCAATATTTTCTCTTTTGTTCCTTATTCAATAAAAAGTTTGCAAAAGTTGCAGTCGAAGTAAAATGAATAAATTCATCCATGAATCTTTCTTCAAATCTTAAATTAGTGTCGTTACTCGCATTGCTTTCAAATGGAAAGTCTTAAAACTTCTTCTCGGACATTTTCGAACCCTTTTTCTCGCCATCTGTAATCCATTTGCACAAGAGATAGACAGCATTCTTACCACCCTTAGAGATCATCCATTTTCATCCGAGTCACGCGTAATCGTAATAATTTCCATCCTTAGAGCTTTCATTATTTATTATTATTTTATGAGTTATTACAGAACGAAACGAAAATCATGAAGAATAAATTTTTAAGACGAAACAAGGAGAGACGGACAATCATTTCGAGGGCGAATAAATTTTTCATCAGTCGGGTGCTCGTTTTCTTCTTGTCTTTCCCTTTACATTTGGCATTCTTAAGGCAAGAGAAAGATTCTTGGGTCAGTTAACAAATTTTTCATTCCCTTTCTCGGTTCATGCTCGCTTTCACTCATCTGAACAATTGTGAAGAGCAAAATTTTTTTGATAATAAAAACCTTTTTTTCCTACCCGAAGAACACAAAAACAGTTGGAAAATGTTTTTAAAATGAAAGAAGAATCTTTATTATTCATAAGATTTTCTCCGACTGCAAAAAATTATTCTTGGACCGTTCACTCGCTTTTTTTTCACATGATGCTCATATTTCAGATCTGACTATAAATTAGGGTAATAAAAATCAAAATATTCGAAGAATTTGTCTTATCCTTTCTTTTTTTCTTCTCACTTTTAAGTGAAGATTATTGGCGTCGTTTATCAAAGCATTCAGCATGTAGAAAATAAAACCTTAGAGAAAATAATAAAATCAGCCATTTTTACCAGGATATTTACCAAGTTCGGATTTTTCACCATGATGATAATCTGAGTTTCGATGGCACAGGTCGTAGATTTCATGGCCTTATCAACGATAGATATAAAGCTGCTATTATCTTCTGCCTTTCATATTACATTCTATGTTATCTTAAAAAAGAAATGAGTAAGAAAAAAATATACTTGGGGATAATAAATCGATGATTATTACTGTGTAGAAGAAAAGAAGTAAAGCTCTACTTAATTTTCCAATTTCCGTGATATGCAAGAGAGTTTCTTCTTCATCCACCCACCACCATATGTTGTGCTTTTTATTTTATTTTATTTCAAAGGTTTCGTGTTTGTGTATCATCGACGAAGCAAACGAGATTCGAAACAATTTCCGATCGATTTCCTTTCCTTGCTTGTGCCGCTTTCGTTTAATAAACAACAGCAACAACAACAACATCATGGGGAAAAACTTCAAATAAGCTTCCTTCTTGTTGTTGTTGCTTGATCATAATTTTTTATGATTATGTGAATGCGGAAGAAAATTGGAAATGTTTTATTGCGAAATTTGTTTCTTATTATTTGCGGTTTTCTTTCTTTCTTTTCCTTCTGATCAACAACAAGAAGAAAATTTGAGACAAAGAGATTTTTGCAAACAAATCGAATGAAAAGCAAAGCGATTTTCCTCGTTTATCATAATCAGTCAGCAATAAAATCAAACTTTGATTGTTATATTATTACATTTTTATGGTCCATTCGGTATTAATCGAAGAACTTTCATTTGCTTAGACAATCTTCATCTAAATTGCTGAAATCTATTGACGTAAGTCGAACTAAAAAAGTTTATTATTCAATACAAGAGAAGTTCATCATCATCATCAGAGTAGGGAGTGCACTAACCAGTGCACTAAAGCGATTAAGAATATAGGAGTATGAACCCCTTCTTGTTTCGCTCCCTATATCCCGTCATTTGATGATTGATGTTAGATAAGGAAAGTTTCAAAAACTTCCTTAAATTTTGCGTAAAAAGTGAAATGTGCTTGTAAATTTAGCTCAAAGCGACCAATTTGACCGCTGATACAGGAAGATGGGGGTGATTTAGGATTTATTCTACAAACCTTCAGAGATGAGTTTCTCTGAAGATGAGAACCCTCACCAGCCATCTCCCTGATCTCACTGTCCGCCGAAGAGGTCGAAGAAGGTGGACCGGACACTCGTTCTCCTCATAACAAGGAGAGGATCCTCCAGTTCCACCCCCGCGAGCTCCTCAACATTAATGACAGTGTGGTCAAAAATCCTGATGATTGACTTTAAAACGTGAAGGACGAAATAAGAGCAACAAACATGATTTGTCCGTTCGAAATCTTCAACACGAAAATCAGGAAGAGGGGGGAATTTTGGGAATTTATTCTACAAACCTTCAGAGAAAAAAGTCGAAAGCGGATTTCCGCTTACCGGCGTTCAACTGTAGAATATGAGCGAAATTTTCTATGATTAAATGAGTGTTGTTTTATGTGGAAATAAAATTTCAATGAAACAGATAGAGAATGAAAGTCCTTTTGAATAGATTGTTCTTGAAGTTTTCGTAAATTTGGGACGTAAAATTTCCGTACATTTGAGACGTAATTTATGATATACTCAAATTTTTGTAAATTAAAGACGTCATTTATGATACTCTCCCATTTTTGTTTATTTAAATTTGAGAGGTCATTGTTGTTGCTCCTGAAATTTTTGAAATACGAGACGTCAATTATTGAGCGCCCCTTGATATGTGACATAGAAAGGTCATTTTTGATGCACTCATATGTGAGTCCATATGGACAAAATGATTGTTTACCTTTGCGAAAATTAATATTCTTCAATTTATGAGGCAGTTTTAGGATCAAATCATCAGGAATGCTACCTATGAACACACTTAAATTCCAAATTCTCTCTTTAACTGAAAACTGAGATGATACTAAATTCCTGTGAAAAGAAAATTTTAAAAATGAAACTAAGTTCCTGTAAAAATAAAATTTTGAAAATGGCGCTGTGAAAGCATTACAGCAGATGCAGATGAAACCATCATCATAATTATAGCTAGTGAAACCATCACTTGAAGCTTTAAAGACTTTAAATTTGAAACAACTTCTTAGCAGCGCTAGAAGATGATTTTGCAACCAGCAACAAGATTTCNAATAAAAAGATTTTCCTTTTTTTTCTGAAAACTTTTATGCATTTTAATTTAATTTTTTTTAAACAATTATGTTACAAGTTTCTTTACAAAATTCTCAGATATTGGTGAAGAGATATTTGCATAGAATAATGCTCGCTTGATGATTTTACTTGACGGATTGAAGGAGAAGGGACAAGGAAACGAGATGATAGTGAATGAAATATTGACAGATGACTTCAGTACAATTCCATTAAACTTTTTATGGCGATGAAATTTCTCAACTTTTTCATCATCGTCTGACTACATTAAAGATAATTTTACATAAAATTATCAAAATAAATTAATAATGAAATATTTAAAACTATAAAATATCCATTTTCATGATGTTCATTAAACGAATGGAAATTAATTAATTATTTAAACAAAAAGTGTTTTCAGTTATTTTGTTTGACTGCATGGTTGGGTTGATTTAGTGGAGAATTCAAAACATCATAAAGAACCTCCATATTTGTCATCAAAAATTGCACAACAATTTTCCAATGTTTCTGATTAAATATTTAAAGATAATTGCTGCCGAAAATTATCAGAAAGAAAAAAATTATAAAATTATTAAACAAAAGTTATGTGAAACGTAGCGTGGGTGAGACGAATAAATTTGTTTGCAAATAGTTAATAATGCATTCTCTGATTTAACATTGTGAAATATTACTCGGATGTTTGGTATAAAATTGAATTTAATTTCATTGTCCATTATTGTGAAATGTTTCAAGGCATGAAAGAGAAAGAGAGAGAGAGAGAGTTGACAATTTTTAAACAATATTTGTCAATCCTTCCGTTCAAAATTCCACAAAGACTACCGTCTTTTGCGGAACTGGACCCACGTGCTTTATACTCGGGTTTTTGCAAAAACGTCATTTGAACCGAATAAAAAGCACTGTTTGGGAAAACGACGGAAATTAAAGCACCCCCCGAAAATAAAGCACTACTTTATAATTTCCCGTTACAAAACAATAGAAATATAAACAAGAATGAAAGTTAATAAAAGAGACACCAGAAGTGCATCAACCTTTCTATAATGAAACGCTTGTTTTCGCTTTTTCACTGATTTATTTTTGTTTTGAAGGTTATATGTTGAGTGTTTGCAAAACGACGGAAATTAAAGCACTTCACGAAAATAAAGCACATGTGCTTTATATTTTTAATATAAAGCACGTGGGTCCAGTTCCGCAAAAGACGGTAGCACATAATTCAACCCTCATTCATAAATAATAAAAACTGAAATAAAATCTCACTATAGACTACTCTCTATGAATATTTATTGT